ACAGCTTCAACAGTAACTTTCATTACATCGAGATTCTCATAAATGTCTTCGAGAATAGACCACTCCACTTCATTAATCTGGATATCACATTTTACATCAATGAGTGCTTTTAAGACTGCTCTTTTCACTTTAATAAACCTACCAATCATATTGCAAAGAGTACTCCAGCGCGTCTTGCAGTCTAATATCAGTGCGTATTCTTTACCAAGCTCCATTTTTATGTAATTTTGAAGAATATCGGATTTCGTTGGTGACATTCTGAACATCCGCACAATATTCCTCACCTTTTCTACAACAAGCCCAAACTTAATATTTGTCTCCACGTCAACTGTTACAGTTGGAGCTTGCTCTATTTGAAATCCACCAGTCTCAGTATCATCTTCAGTGCCAATGCAAACAGTGTTCAGATTATTTTCGTTTTCGGCAAGTTCTTCTTGAGCCTCATTTACGTTTTCTTGATTTTTTACGTAGAACGTATCCACGATGGCCAATTGCAAGCCATGAGCTAAGCATAACTGATGTATGCAGTTTAAATTTCCTCCTAGTTTTGTCATAACAGAAGCTCCATCAGATATAATGGCGATCACATCAGTGTCAAAATCTAATTTAAATTCGTGTAGCCTTTCTAGCAGGTTTTCTTCACACTTGATAGCGGTAACAGAGCCATACGTCCTACATAAACCAAGATTTCTCGTCGTGTGGTGGTTACCTTTGAAAAATGCACAGTGAAGATTCACATTCATATATCGCCTATTTCTTGAAGATGTCCATTCATCTATTGAAACCGAAAATTTGTGTCCTTCATCCTTTAGTTCCTGTATTTCCTTTATAAGGTTTTTCTTAGTCTTATCATAAAACTTTATAGTCACATCTTTTATAGTATTTGCGCTCGTAGGTAATTTATAACCAGCTTTTTTAAATAGATGCTTCAGGTCTTCAGATTCTGTAAATGCCCTGTATGGCATACCGTCAAGTGCTGTCATTCTTGATACCATAACATCCAATGATCTGTTTGATTGTGAGAAGTAGTCGGTCATTCTGCAATTTTTCGCTGAAACTGGTGACTCCAATAAAGAGTTATCATTTTTTCTTTTGGAAGTCCCAGCAGTTTCCCTAGCTACTTCTGAAGCAAGCCTTTCGCTGTCAAGTGAAATATTATGTAATCTTAAATGGCTGCGTAGTCCTGTTGTAGTACCACCCGCACACTTAATAACTTTTTCACATGTTTTACATTTTGCAGAATCACCCGTATCGGCCTTTAGGAAATGATACCAAACCGACGTTGGATCGGAACTTTTTTTGTATACAGGAATGTAGTTTATTTTATTTGACATTATTGATTAATTCACTCGTTGCAGTAAGTACCTAAAACAAAAGATATTTTTAATATTCACACTACTAATAATATTATGATTCGAAATTCGAAGCTACGGGCAACACTGGTAGACTGAGACACACTGAGACGTGATCTCGATAAAAATACGGTAATTTGGTAATACTGCGAATGATATTTAAGTATTGTGTAAGTAAATAAACTTTTAAACACACTACGTAACATTTAAATAACGTGTGCCTACCTAAAGTTAAAATATTATATAAAATTACCTACTTATATGACTGACCACTGTGGGCTATGAAGTAAAGAAGATGTATGAATATGAAGTGGGCTTATAAAGCGAACGTCAAACAAGTACATAATATAAAAAATCTACTTAAAATCTATCTATCTAGATTATTTTACTTACCTACTGTAAATCCTTTAGCGTCGTGTCGACAAAAAAAGCGAAGCACGCTCAACAGAACACAACGCAACCAACCAAACATCACACCACACTGGATCACACTGAACAAACTTCCCACGCCGCGCTTAATGGCGCGTTCTGTCCTGCACGCGACTGCGCACTTGTGTTGGTCATGAAATGAGTGAGCAAGAGAGCTATAGACACGGGCTAGTGGAATGCCACTGCACGCAGCGCGAATTCCAAAAAATAACTCGCGGTAGTGATGGAAATGATTGCATAAAACCTTTATGAAATTATCGTTTATCGGTATTTTTAAGAAATTTTTCGATAATTATCGGTGAAAAAAATGAACTGATTACCGATAAATTATCGGTTATTGATTATCGGTTTGCATGCGCTAGTTAAACAGGTGATTCTCGTTGCCTTGAAGCCACTTTTTACGTTCTCAGTGTTCATATTAGCATCATCCATTATTTATTTAATAGAATAGGGAAATGGCTTTTGTTTAATGCATGGCTTAATCATGGCAGCTTTGTTGTATTCAACTTCGTCATTTGAGTGGTAGTATCCAAACAGTTCCTTCTTTAGTATTATTTGAACTCAATAAATCCATTTGCGGCATGAAAAGAGTGCTTTTTATTTTTCAAGTAGGTTTCTTTATTGTAGAAGCACTTGAGTTCCTGGGAGAGTCTGAAAGACTACAACAAATTTTATTCAGGTTTTTTATTTTGTATGCTAATGATATTATTTTAGATTATTATTTTCTAAGATCAGGTCATCTATTTCCTTATTAGCACTTTCTAATTGCCTTTTTAATGTATGTATTTCATCTTTTAATTCTTGCATAGTTTCATCATACCGCGTTGATAAGTCCGGTAGACTTCTTGCTCTGTTCAAGGTCCTGGGTTCAAATCCCGGGTCGGGCCAAAAAAATCAATTATTGAGTTTTTCTGTCAAGAAATTCTCAGCAGCTGCTCGGAGTCAGGAAGTTGGCGGTGTTTCACCCCCGTGCCTCGGAAAGCATGTAAAGCCGTTGGTCCTGCGCCTGATCTCTCTCCCGGTCGTGTCGGTTTACCGTCCCATCGGATTACGAGAGTGAGGGAATAGAGAGTGCACCTGTGCTTGCGCATACACTTGGGCACTATAATCCTGTCCTGCGCCGATGGCTATCCTCCGTTGAGGCAGGCCGCCGTGGCCGAAATTCGGTCTGGAGGACATTATTATTATTATGTTTTCTAAATGTTATGTATTCGTTATTTCTTCCAGTGTATTTTCCATTGTTTTAAATGCCTGTTTTTTTTATTTTCTTATATTATAATTAGTGTTTAATCTCATTCAATTCAATATTCGAAACGTTTTGAAAAACTACTATACATAGCGAAAACTGTTACAAAGAGAGAACTTGTATGCGGGATACGAACTCGTGCCAAACAGCTGACTTGACAACATCGAATATTAAGCCTCCACGCCACCAATTAGATAAGAAACTTAACGAAATTAATATTCTGTATGTACGCTATCTATTTTATAAAAACGTTAGACGATATTTGAAGTTTTAAATTGAGAAACGATGATTTTAGTCACTTTTTCTATTACGTAAATACACTAGTTTGTATTTTTTTTTGTTGTTTATATTGTTCCACTGTATCGTTATTTAATTTGTAATCGTTATTTCAACTGCACTATTTGTTTTTAAGTTGTTAGAAGAAAGAATAACACTGTACTATTTATTATAAACAAAGTTTTATCGACACCTTTTAAAGACGTTTTTAAGCACTTTTCCCTAATAATTTCTTCTAGATAACATTTTCTCTTGTTTTTTTGCACTGTTTTACATATGATTTAGTATTTATTTCAGGTAACACTATGATTTTAGTAGTTTTAAGCAAAAATAAATGCAGAGTCGATTTTACGCGTGGCCCCACTACCTACTATTTTGATTGACTCTTCAGTCATTTTAGTAAAAAGATGAAAAATTTTCCTCAAAGTTGAAGTAAGCATTATGCCTTCTTTGTATTTCAGCTCTCAGTCTTTCAAGGATCACCAAAACGGTATTCACTCTGAAATAATCTCTGGAGTCAAAGGATATTTCAGGTTCGTCATTCGTTGTTTCATCCGTCATTTTTTTCCTTTTAGGTTGTCTCTATATTTCACCTTGATATTGCTTAAGTGCACTAATCTTAATTGCTTTTTCTTTGAAATAGTCAAAGTTTTCTCGTTCTTCTATTGTAATTTCTACTAAGGTCCATAGAGATCAGATACCGTCAATCCATCTACAGATGAGCTCTGAATCTGAACACTCACTTTATTTAACCTTTGCAAAATAGCATTCCAAAATGCGACCATGAATGCAGTTTCAAGATTTTCTAATTTGAAGCGATTCCCTTTGCCTCATTTCGCGGGACCGGTTTCTCTGTACTGTCATTTTCAATCATTTTTAAAACTGTATTTATTTCATTCCGGGAAGCTCTTAGACTTTTACAGTCATCTGCTCTAGCCGACCAACGAGTGAGGTTCACTCTCTTGAGTGTTTTTCTTGTCCCTATCTCATTCGTTAATTTTTCCAACGTTCAGTTGTCATCACGAAGAAAGTATACTCCTGTAGCAATATAAAAAAGTGGCAGGTAAATCTCTTACATGGTTCTCCGTTATCTAAGACATATCGAATCACAAGTGTTAGCTGATCTATATGTGCTGCGTCCGGTTTACAATCTACAATCAAAGAAAATTACTTTGCTTTTTTTATCTCATCACTGATGTATATCAGTATTTAGTACTTTTTCAGCCATTAAATAAATGAATTCATCGCAGACAGTTTTCGAAAGGTAGCTAGTTGTTCCTGATCCCTGGTTTGCATAACTTTTAATATTTGCTTAGTAATTTGTCAAACTCTACTATTAATTCAAGAAGCATAATGTAATTTCCCCTGTGCTGGTCACCAAATTTTTTATTACATCCTCTAAAAGCGAGACCTCTAGAAGCTAATCCTTTCGAATTTTAATCATTGTATCCTTCCTAATCAAACTGTATCCTGTTCGCAATAGATCCAAAGGCCACAGAATACGGAACCTTTGCTTTCCGAATAGACGAGTTAATTCCTTTCCTTAACTTCATTATTCTTAATTTTCTGTAAAATATATTTGTTAGTAAATAACGGCGATGATCAGAATACAGTCTCGAACTTTTTGTGAAATCACAAGATTTGTTTTGTTCGAAACCATTTCTTGCAATAATATCTCCCGTTAAATCGTTTATTTCTCATAAGGCTGGATCTGTATTTAGTTTTATGGTTGTTTCAATTTCAAAAAACGTCGCGACAATAGCCATTTCTTCCCTGTCTAACTTTGTATTACTGCCACTTGTTGAAGGTCTTTCGGTGTCAGAATCAGGAGGATAAGCAGGTTTTACTGAACACGATTGATCTGACTGATTACGATGGTACAGACTCTTCACCTCAATCGGAATAGGACCTTGTTCATATTTATTTTCCTTATTACTACTAGTCCTCGAGTTCTCTTGTGCAATACGTGAACTCTCGCTGCTGTTTTCACTTTTAAAAAAAGCTTCTATTTTCCTGGCCTTCTGAAATGCATGTTCTTGTTCATCTTTTTTTATTTTGGCCTTTTTCCTGTACTCAGTGGCTTTAGGTCTCTTCCTTCCATCACTAACTTTTTCGACAGTTTTAAAACGCTATATATTGTAGTTATCAATCTGTAAAAAGAACACAATAGTCTATATAAATGTCATCACGATCGTTTCGATCGATTCAATCGATTACACTTTGACGACTAAAGTCATCAAAGTGTAATAAACAAGCAAACAAATACAGATTTACATTTATAAGTTGGTTAGGGTTTAATTGCAATATGTAAAAAATCTCTATCATACAATGTCATTAATATGTGAAACCTAATATAATTCATAAGTTATAAGAAAATATAATACTCACTTTACGAGAAAAAGGCTCCACATTAATATACCTACATCTAAAATCTTACCGAACTATTTTAATTCCCGCGGCTAGAACTTCCAGATCAGTCAGACTCTTAAATTTTCTGAATCACTCATATATTTTTTTGGTTTGGCTGGCCAAAGTCATTAAAGTGAAGGATACTTTAACGGTTTACATTGCGGTTTACATAAAGCGTAATACATACGGAAATACATAATAAGTATTTCTACATTTTCGCGGAGTTAACCGCAACCACGGAAGCTGTAAAGCATAAAAGCAACCGAAAAGTTGGTAAAAATGTAGAAATACACAAATAAACCACCAACCAATGTGAAACTATCTTTCATTTTAATGGGGGACAATTTTCATTTTTATTTAATGAGTGTTAAAGACAAAATATATTAGAGTATAGCACACTATTGTGTAGCACTTACCTATATCAATAAAAACTGAAGCTTAACAACAAAGTATATTGAGAATTACTGTGATTTTTAATTCTTGTTTCTTGTTGTTAAACTTGTTTCGTCGACATTAGATATTTGAGATGGTCTGTCTAGTAATTTCAGTTCTGTTAGTGACTGTTCCAGCAAATGAAAGTAGGGATACATAATATACGGAATACATGCCTGTTTTCTTGCATATTCCACTAGCTGTGGCTTCTTAATTGATAGATTATGCCTTTTTTTGTTGGACTACTCAAGATCTTTGGAGGTGTAATACCAATGCTTGAATTTGAAGTAAGATTACACTTATTTTAAAAAGATTAAAGTTTTGGCAGTAATTTATGTAAGTACTTACGCAAATACATGTAAATGTTTACGATTTTTTTAAACTAATGGATGTCATTAAACAATATATTGACATTAGATTGAAATACCTTGTACCAGTTTTAACTGCGATCAATTAATCAAAACCACAATTGTATTATTAAGTTAACCGTTTTTAAAAGTGGAGTAAATTAACGACATTATTGAGTTTCATTAATAAACATCGTTTCATAAATTCGTATTTATGTTTTATTAAGCTATAAAACGTACCTTATAAATATCGACCCACTTGACATTTACAAATATTTACGTAATTAAGTCAATAATACATAGGTATCAATCTTGGCGCATCACTATTCAACCGCTCAAACTATGTATCAGTATCTATAGAACATCTGGTTACGCTTGACGTAATAGGCAATGAATGATACGCGCGCTCTATTACTTGCTTATTTATACTCTAAGTTTTAATATCTGTCCTTTAAAAATTTTGAGTGAGTGTGATGCTGAGTCCTGAGCCTGAGCTAGTACTTTTTATTACATCGTGGTCTTGAGGCTGTGTTCATCCTTTTATCCTTAGAGTATTGTAATAATAAAAAAGTACTCTGTGGTGTTATTATGGTGCCCTGTGACTGTGTCATTGGTTCAGAAGAGCTTGAACCCAAAGCCGTAAAACCAGTTAAATAAAAAAAAATATACGACGGTGTCATTGTGTTGTGTCAGTTAGCGGTGGGTAGTAGCGTCATTTTTGAGTAACGAAACGAAACTATCAATCGAATATCAATAGCGGCTTTTGAAACACTCTATTTTAATAGCGGCTTCAATAGAGTGTTTCACGACGTGTTTAATTGAAAAACGTTGCGAATGAAACGATGTCCGTTTCACGAGAAAACTTGTTTGTTGCCTTTTCGTATAGAATTAGACATGGTGTTAATGGTTAAATTTATTAATTTGTTAAATCATTTCGCACGGTTTCATAAAAATATCACTTGAAAAGATTTAACGGCAAACGATTTATTTAATAATTATGATTATGATAAATTCACCCACAAATTCAGTATAAAATATTGAATATATGTAAGTTTGATTTTATAGCAAATAATTATTACAATACAATGCTTATTTTTAGCCTACATTTTTATGTAATAAATCAAATGAATACATGTATTGATGTCTTTATAGAATATTTTCCGCCGCCATCTGCTCCATTCTACAGGTATTAAAGTCTACTCATGTGCTTCTACTTCAGCAGACGCGTCGCGGAAATAGCCGAATAAACGTTTTGTTACTGATTGCTCGTTCGTGATTCGTGAAACGTGAATCGTGTTACTGAGTAAAACGTCTACTGTAATAGAGTTTCGTTGCACTGCAATAACCCGCTACCCGCTATTGTGTGAATAGATAGCTTCAGTAACTAGTTACGTTTTGTAACGGGCACTCCTAGTGTCAGTGTCACTGTCAGTTGTCAAAAACAAAGTTCAACGTGATATTTTAATATTATTTGTGAAAAAGGTAAATGAAATATTGCTTTTTTTATAACGTTTTGTACATAAAGCGTATAGAATGGTGTATACCGAGGAATATATTAAAGAAAAATTGACCAAGGAGTTGGAAGCCGTTCACGTCGTAAGTACAATCTGTATCTGTCAAAGTTTTGACTAAATCGGCTAAAAGATAAATTCTATGAATGGGCCTATGACTTGTGCGTTGTAGTGTAGTGCCAAATCAACCGTTATGGGAAAGAAATCTGATTGGGAAAAACTTTTTATTACAAAAGACTTATTGTTACCTGGCGCATTTTTCGCGTTATTGGTACGATGGTGTGTCGCCGCATATCCTTATTCTGGTTATAAAACGCCGCCAATGTATGGCGATTTTGAAGCGCAACGACATTGGCAAGAAATAACTCTTCACACGCCGATCTCAACGTGGTATCGAAATACAACTCATAATGACCTTAATTATTGGGGCTTAGATTATCCTCCCATTACGGCGTATCACTCGTACCTTATTGCTGTAGTCGCAGATTGGCTTTATCCGGAATCGGTGCGGCTCTTCGCTTCTAGAGGCTATGAGGATGAAGATCACAAATTATTTATGCGATGGACTGTGTTTCTCAGTGATTTTTATTTTTATGTGACTGCCACAATATGTCTTTGTATAGATACAGAAAGGATTAAGCCTAAAGAAGAAAAGAATGTATTCAAAAGAACTGATGTAGCATCAACCCTTTTCTTGCTGTATCCAGGAATAATATTGATTGATCATGGTCACTTTCAGTATAATTGTGTATCACTGGGTTTATTCATGTGGGCAATATTCTACATTGTAGCTGTAGAAAATGATATATTAGCAACAAGCTTCTTCGTTCTTGCATTAAATTACAAACAAATGGAACTTTATCATTCATTACCATTCTTTTTTTACCTATTAAGAAAATGCTTTACCAATGTGCCACCTAGAAGAAAATTATACCATATTGTAAGTGAGTTTAATCAATTGGCTATAGTTGTTGTGTGTAGTTTTATTATAATTTGGTATCCATTTCTCAGGTCTTGGGATAGTATAAAACAAGTAGTATATAGACTATTTCCATTAAAACGAGGTGTCTTTGAGGATAAAGTTTCAAATGTTTGGTGTTTTATTAATGTATTTATTAAGCTGAAATCACTCTATACTAATGAGAAAATGGCCGAAATATGCTTAGTTACAACTGCGTTTGCTGTACTACCGTCGTGCATGGATTTGTTCTTTAGAATAAATAAGAAAAAGTTTATACTGTCTCTCATAAATGTGGCATTAGCATTCTTTTTATTCTCATTTCAAGTTCACGAGAAGACGATTCTGCTGGTCGCTATCCCTGTAGCGTTGCATTTACCAGAAGATCCATACATGTGTTTCTGGTTTTTACTTGTGTCCAATTTTAGTATGCTTCCATTGCTTCTCAAAGATGGCTTGTTAATCCCTTTCGTATCTACAAGTTTTATTTATTTAGGTGTTTACAACGTTGCTTTAAAGCTATCTTTACCAAGTGCAGGGTTGTTTACATTTTTAAATGCCAACAGAGTTTATAAAGTAACGCAAAAGAACAAGAGCCAAAATTCAGTTTTTCTTAAACTTGTCAGTTTATACTTTTTTGTTTCTCTCGTAGGTATGTTTCTTCTGACCCTCGGTATACTTTTTGTTAAACCTCCAAAAAGGTTTCCTGATTTGTTTCCTCTGCTTATATCAGTTTACAGCTGCTCACATTTCATACTTTTCTTCCTTTATTTTAATTACCAACAGTTCTGCATCCCAAAATGCTTACCGGAAATGCCCAAGGTTAAAACCAAATAATCTTTCAAAACAACTGTTAAAACTTTTTATTATATTATATATGTAATAAAGTTGTCAAATATGAAAATTTGACTGTTGTTTTCATTTCTCGCTTACTTTGTTATTGCTATCCTATATATTATAATATTTAAGATTTTAAACAGTTGTAAATATGTTAATTCTGAAATTGGTTAATTCATTCATCTATGTATTTCTTACAGAATGTTAATAGTCCACTGCTGAATATCTCTCCCAAAGATTGATTATTCCCCTTATTTGTCACACTCGACAGATGGGTTGGCTACTGCAAGTTTTTATTATTTTGTTTTTTTATCAGGTAGATGATGCTGCTGTTTTTAGTCCTCATCTCCTATTCCATCTGTCGACTCTTATGACACCCACATGATAACATGGGTGGATGAATCTCATATGCTGCTTCAATGTGGTGTTTTGATGAAGCTGAAAGTGGTTAGTTATGTTTAATGCACATTCTGTTGCCAGTAACGACTTACAGAACTGTAATTTGGTCCTTTACTTCTGATCGTATGAGGAGGCTCAAAGACACTCAGCGTGCAATATAAAAGGCTATGCTCAGAATTTCTCTACAGGATGAAGTCCTAACAAGGCTATTCTCGGAAGTGCAGGCAGCCGATGGATGCAGGTGGCTCAGTACCGTACTTTGGGGCAATCTATGGGGGAAAATAATGTTCAACAAATACTTTTTTCTTGTGACTGAAACCCTAATTAACGAGACTTTAACCATTAACAAAAATTGAATTTAGATTTCTACACTTGGAAAAAAGCTTCTGGATCATTTTTGGCCATTTTTTGGATTGTAACATTTCTGCATAACATGGTCCATTTATACCAGATGACCAATATCAAGACTGGCAGTAGGAAGTTTCTTCAGGTGTACAATACATCTGTTTCTAACAATCATCCAAATAATTGATATTAGGACTTCATTTCTGGTTAGGAATTGCCGTCCATGTGGGTAAATGCTACCCTCGTACCTATTTAATATAAAATAGTAATGCCTGCACTGCTGTGGTGTGGTCTGAAGGGTATAGAGAGCTGGTATCATTACATGCTGAGAGGCATTCCATCTTAGTCCTCAAAGGTGTAGATGCCTGTCACCTGCCTAGAAATTGGTTCTTTGAATAGTGAGTGTAAAAAAACTGGAGACTGTTTTCATGGAAACAAGGTATTCTATGTTAGTTCTCAGGGGTGACAATGCATAGTCTGAATTTGGATTTCTAATAGAA